GCGGGGCCTACTGGGGGTCCCCGGGAAAAAACGCCTTAAAACGTTAAAACGTCCACCGGGGAGCGACAGGCCGGCGGAGGCGCCTTAAAAACCGTCAGAAAAACGGTCATTTAAAACAAATTTTGCTCATCACCTCCTTTGCGGGTTAAATAAGGGTGGTGGGAGCACTGGTGCTCCAAGGAAAAGGCAAAAAAAAGGCAAAAAAAAGGCAAAAAAGGCTAAGAAAAGTTTAAAAAAGGAAAAAGAAAGGAAAAATAAAAGAGAAAAGGGAAAAAAGGAAAAAAACCGCACAATCTCCAGCATATACTAAAGTTTTATGTTGGGAATTGCACCCTACCCGTTACAGAAAGCAGAAAAAAAACCCAGGAACTTGTGTTTTAAGCCTCATTCTGCAGCATTTAGCCAACTTAAAAAAATTACTCTTGGCTATTGGTTTTGGCTTACAAATCTCTGAGGAATTAAGGTTAATGCAGACCTGCGTGAGAACCAGTCAGAGGGAGGTGGTCTGGTCTGGGTTTGTTTTCTTTTTTAAAAAATATATTTAAAATACTTAAGATTTTCCCTTTGGAGTCACAAGAGGTTAAGTCACTTGGTCACAAATGTATTTCTACATGTTTATAAGCAAATAAAAAAGAAATTTCCAACCATCTGTCCTTTACAACCAGGTGAGGGGCCTGACGGCTGTGGGCTGGAAGAACAGAGCAGGGTGTTGAACCTCTTTAACACAAGGTAAACGTATTGTTTTTAGGAAGACATGATTTCCTTTTAAATAGCTTTAAATATCCACCAATCAAATGTTCATTTTCCAAACTTAAAGCCTCTATTTACCATCAAAATTATCATTAACCAGGGAACAGAGACGTGGCGGAGGAAATGCTGGCGAGCAGATTCTATTTAAATTCAGTGTAATGACAAAGAAAAGTCCGTCGGGAGAGTTTTTCATTTTAAAAGGGCAAAGAAAGATTGGAAAACCACAATTCTGAAGCAGCTTTGTGGAACTGCTCCCCGCCTGTACCTGCTTCTTCATCGGTCATTTAAAACACTCAGCGGGTAGACTATAAAAGTAATCAAAGACTGTCTTGGTCAAAGCTCAGATCTGTTAATAGAGAACTCCCAAACTTCATTCCCCACAGAAAATGCTCGCCGACTCTAAAAACAGCATGCTACAAATTACACCAAACTCATTGTTTTAGAGGGAAAATCCCCCTGTAAGGGGCACAGACCCCGTCAAGTTCCGTGCCACGGAATCAGCCTGGTTTTGAACATTTTTTTTCCAAATTATTGACTGTTGCCTGGCTGGTTTTACCTTATTTTTCACCCTAAGTGGGAGATTAAGCGGGTTCTGTTGAAGCCAAAGGACAAACCACAGCCCATGGAGAGAGTTTTTCATTTCCAAGGGGCATCTGTTGAAGCCAAAGGACAAACCACAGCCCGTGGAGAGAGTTTTTCAATTTCCAAAGGGCAAAGATTGAAAAAAAAAAAAATATATATATAGTAAATCCATTCGGACGCCCCGTAAACTGGGAAGTGGAGGATTTCCTTCACTCACAAGGTGCAAAAGTTACCGGGTAAAAAAAAAAAAAAAAAAAAAAAGTATAATAAATCCATTCGGATGCCCCGTAAACTGGGAAGCGCAGGATTTCTTTCACTTGCAAGGTGCAAAAGTTACCGGATGGAGAATGGTAACGCTTTATTCCTGTCTTCTTTTCCCCAAGGGTGTCCCAGCTGGAGCCCCCGGGGTCTGTCCTGCCACCGGAGGGACGGAGCAGGGTCTGGGGTAGGTGTGAGCTCACGCCGCGGTGACGGGGGACACCGGAGGGGCTCGGCGTTTCACTTACAAGGTGCAAAAGTTACCGGGTGGAGAATGGTAACGCTTTATTCCTGTCTTCTTTTCCCCAAGGGTGTCCCAGCTGGAGCCCCCGGGGTCTGTCCTGCCACCGGAGGGACGGAGCAGGGTCTGGGGTAGGTGTGAGCTCACGCTGCGGTGACGGGGGACACCGGAGGGGCTCGGCGTTGGGTACGGGGCGGGGAACGGAGGCTGGAGGGACCAGTCTGGAGGGCAGGGGAGCGGTGTGTTGGGAGTTTTGGGGTGGGATGGGGGACAGGAGAAGGAGATAGGGGCTGAGTCTGCGCCCAAAAGGGGCTCGGCGTCGGCCCCCCGTGCCCCTACACCTGGGCGGCCGATGGTCTGAGCACCTCCGAGGGCTTCATCCCGGGCTGGGGCGCCGCGTTGCGCCGGTACGGTGTGTGTCCCCCCCCTTCAAAACCGAGGCCACCAGGAGCTGGACGTCTCTCCTCCGTGGGGGGGGGCCCCCCCCCGGCTCTCCTCTCGGTAAGGCACGGCGGGGGGCTCGGGTCCCCTCTTGGCACGCACCGCCCTCAGCGCGACATCATCCGCACGAACTCTGCCACGAGGAGGATACGGAGGGGAAGGGACAGCCCCAATATTGCACCCCCACCCAGGGGAAGGGGGAAAACGTTCCCGTGTCCCCCCCACCACCAACTTTAATCCCCTTCCCCTACCTCCGAAGTCCACCAGGCCGTCCCCGTTGAGATCCACGTCCTTGAGGATCTCGTCCACCTCCCGGTAGTTGAGCTGCTGCCCCAGCAGCTTGCGCATGGCCTCCCGCAGCTCCGCCATGCTGATCTGCCCGTCCCCGTTGGTGTCAAACTGCAGCAGGGCAAGCATGCCAGCAGTGTGACCCCCCACACCTCCTCCCGTTGTCCCCCCACCTCCATCCAGCTCCCCGTCCCCCCTCACCTCACGGAAAGCATCACGCAGCTCCTTGATCCCGATCATGTCCGCCGTCTCCGCCAACATCTTGGGGCCCATCAGCTCCACGAAGTCGTCAAAATCCACCTTCCCCCCAGCTGTGGCGGAACCGTGTTGAGGAGGGGGGTCACCAAGATGGGGAGGGGACAGGGATGGTCCCCCCCACCCACCCCGGGGCCCCCCACCACCTACTGATCTGCTGGGACAGCTCGATGAGCTCCATCTCGGTGGGCATGTAGCCCATGGTCCTCATGCACTCGCCCAGGTCCTTGTAGCTGATGTAGCCATCACGGTCCTTGTCGAACTCCCGGAAGGCCTGCTTCAGCTCTGGGGACAGCGCAGTGACACCCCCCCAACGGGGGCAAAGACACCCCCTCACCCCCCCTTACCCC